GGTGTAAAATTCACAAATGCGAGCAGAATTTTGTCTTTTTGCCTTTTGCGCCGAGGGCATAATTGGAATCAGAAGGACACTGAATCAGGAAATATTGTAGCAAAAATATCCTCTCTCATTTTAATCAGAATATCCATACGGATTTGCATAATAAGTGCTCCTGCTCCAGATGCTATTTAGTTTATTAATTTAATTAGAGGTGTGGGAATACAGTTGTCAGAGTGTTCGTTTAATAGTGGCTGTTCTTTCACAACCAATTGCCTAAACCCCATAAAGTAATAAACAACCATCCTTTGCTACCTCAATAATGCAACAAAAGCAGAAAATGAGGAGTTCTGACTTACTTAAATTCAGTTAGGAAATGTTCACTTGCTGTTCTGGAATAACTTTACTTCTCCATCAGCTCCACTGTTTTTTTTAAAAACTGTTAATGCCACGTACATGACAGTTCTCTGTGTCACAGAGGTACTTTAAAGCTGGCCAAAAAATTAAATAAAATTACTAATAACCCAGGAAAGTGCTGCACAACTTCAGATGCACAAAGTTCATAAAGGCAGTTTCGTGCAGCAGATACTTTTCTCAACCAATGGTTAGATGGAAATTCTCACACCAAGCATTGATCTGAAATTCAAATGCAAGAAAGTTGTTGAAATCCTGAGTTTTGAGTTTGCCACCAATATAATCCAAAGCATACTCTAATGTCAGTCCTACTGACATAAACCAAATTAATTTCTCTAAGTCTTTCCAATTACAGGGCAAAAAACTGGCAATTTTCAATTTCAAAAAAAAAAAAAAAAAAAGAAAACCTCCAAAAAAATTAAATAATGTACTTGTTTTATAGTAATTATCTTTCTGTAGATCTTTCTTTCAGATATCTTTACGGCTCAAAATATTGTCATTTTTAAATAAAATGCTGGGCAATAGAGAGCACAAATTTGCCTTTAGATTAAGACTGAGATGAATAAAATACATCTAAATATAAGATTAACTATCTGAGGAAAATTAAATTGAAGCTGACCAAAGCTTAGGACATTCTTTAGGATTTCTTCCAGTCATCCAATTGGTGACAGAGTGTAACCTGTAGATATCTTGAGTGTCTTCAATTTAGAAAAAACAAAAAATTGCTGTTTGCTGTTGTCTTTTGCAAAGGAATTGAATCAGAGACAATTGAGTCCACAGCAATCACATTTTTATGGAGTGGAAGGTCAGGAAAAGACGATTTTGTGGAAGGTGTGCTGTTGAATAAATATAAAATTGAATTAGCCAAAAGTTATTCAAAGGACATTGAGTTGGTCATTGCTGTTCCTACTTGGTTGCCAAAACTCTGCCATGTTTAGAGCTAGATTTTTTCAGTCTGTGGGCAACTTTTGGGCAACTTTCCTACAAGAATTTTTTTTTTTTTTCTCTCCACAGCGGACGTGTGCGACTCCAGCCCCTGCCAGAACGGCGGCATTTGCCTGTCGGGGCTGAACGATGATTTCTACTCCTGTGAGTGCCCCGAGGGCTTCACGGACCCCAACTGCTCCAGCCTTGTGGAGGTTGGTAAGTGCAAATTTAAACTCTGAAACGGCTCAGGTGACCCTTCAGTCTGAGTGTGGGGAAGCGGTGATCCCATCCGCGGTGTTTTTGGGGTTGTCACGTCGGTCACAGTGGGTTTCTTAACCTCGTAGCTGTATCATAAACAGCTGTAAAATTATTAARTTATTAAAATTATTAGTTCAAAAAGCATCTGAGAGGAGTGCAGAACTTAATTACTCAGAAAAGCCCAGTGCTCCATGTCACAAAAAAGACCACAGCAATGACTAAGAGTGGCCAATGTTTTTCAAAGATCAGTGTAAACAGATAATTCGAGATAATTCTGTGTCCTTCTTTTCAAGGTCAKTGGGTTTCTTAACCTCGTATCTGTGTCATAAACAGCTGTAAAATTATTAACAGACAGTTCAAAAAGCATCTGAGAAGAGTATCTGCAGAACTTAATTACTCAGAAAAGCCCAGTGCTCCATGTCACAAAAAAGACCGCAGCAATGACTAAAAGTGGCCAATGTTTTTCGTAGATCAGTGTAAACAGATAATTCGAGATAATTCTGTGTCCTTCTTTTCAAGGTCAGTGTAAACAGATAATTTTAAATAATTCTGCGTGTCCCTCTTTCAAAGATTAGCATAAATAATTCCAGAAAATTCTGTGTATCCTACTTTCAAACATGAATGTAAACAAATAATTCTAGATAATTCTATGAGTCCTTCTTTCAAAGATTGAGGTAAACAGATAATTCCAGATAATTCTGTGCATCCTTCTTTCAAAGATCTTTCAAATGGGAAATTGTAGATAATTCTATGTATCCTTTCAGAGATCAATGTAAACTGATAATTCTAGGTAATTCTATACATCCTTCTTKCAAAGATCAGTGCAAACTGATAATTCTAGATAATTCCATGTATCCTTCTTCAACCATTGCCCATTCAAAGCTTCAGTTCCTATRGTTTTATGGCAATGTCCAGAGAATAATTTCTTATTATTTAAGATTAATTTCTTGTGCAGGTGAAGAGGCAGGAACAGCACAGGAAATAATGAGATTATCACTTAGCAGTCACTTGTTTGAATTTCAAAACAATTGCCCATCTGGAGGTTCTAATTAAACATTAGATGAGTGCACAGAGGAACAGTCAAATGTTCTGAAATTTTGTGATGTGTGTTTGACCCAGAATAAACATAAATATGGGTGATAGATACAAAACATCCAACAGGCCAGGACTCCATCCTAAGAAAACATGAGGAAAAAATCAGATTTTGATGGAAAAGATGGTAGAGTGATAATCTCAAATTCATTGATAATCTCAAGTTAATTTAGCTCTTATCATCCCAAAGTATTATGCCAAAGAAAGCATAAAAATATGAATGTAGAGCAAAATGAGGAAACTGTCAGAGATGGGCTCGGAGTTGCCACTGTCCTAAATCTGTGTGGTTCTCACTTTTTAATAAATTAATAAAAATCTACGCAGGGTAAATTATTCTGAGGATTAAGTTATCTCTGTCTTTAGAGAAAGGGAAGAGAACTTAATTCAGAAACACGGGGCTGTTCTGTTGATGTTTTTTTGTTCGTTTTCTTTTCTGAAAATGGTGCCACTGCTGTTTTGAGACTGAATTCCAAGTGTCCACAATGCAATTTGGATGGAATTTGGATTTCATTTGATCCCCCTTAAGTTAAATTTTCTTGCAAACAAAGGGAAACAGTTCCTGTGGATGAATAACCAACCTGACACACCAAGTTCCTTTCATTCTGACCCTAAAATGTCCCTGGTTTTGGTTACCATCTAGCAAACACTGCCTCAAATCCTATTTTCCATCCTTTTCCCTGTAATTTTTACCAGTGCTTTAATTTATCCTAAAGATATAGGTCATGATATAGGCCTAAAATGGCCCAGACACGGCTTCACTTCAGGAAACTTTTGGATTTATTGTGCACTTGGCTGTCAGGAAATTGCATTGCACATAACTGGGAGGATGCCAGGCATGAGTGAATCTGAGGGAAAAAAAAAAAATCATATTCTGATAATTGCCACCATAATTAGCAGATGAGCATTAATAGGGCTTTAAAAAATACACATGTACTTAAATAAAATCTTCAAGCACTTCAACAAAAACTCTGTTTGGCAAACAGAGTAAAGCATAAGTRAATAACTTGACAATATGTGGTAATCACAGCACTTAGAGAAGGAGGATGTTGCATTTCTGGTCTGCAATCCACAGGGAATATCTGATGGACAACATTGGTTAAATAAAGAACTTATTAATATTCCTATGGTAACTAAAATCCAGAGTGTTAATTTAGTTCATGCTTGTCTTGTTTGCTACATGTATAGATTCAGTCTTGCCTTGTTAACAACCTCAAAAATGKTTTTTAAAATAATCTCTTTTTAGTGAAAAATTATCCCACATTATGGTCTTCTATGCAGAGTCGCATAAACCATTGGGGAAAAAAAATAAAAGGCATTTCAAGAAAATAAATTTATTTTTTCCTGTGAAAATGATGATGATTAATGCAARCTGTTAGACAATCAGACTCCATTAATTCAAATACTGAAGTGTTTCAAGTAAAATAAGCAGTTGTAAGGTGGCTTGGAGTGCAAGACCCCAAGTGATCACTTYCACTAAGAAGTGTTTATTAGATGTAAGATTTAAGAAGAAATGCCAGCAAAGGTTGCTTCTCTTTAGCTCTTTAATGAGTTTTTGCCCAAAAGCTAATCTCTTAATCCCTCGTATCTCAAAAAGGCTTCTTGACAATTTTCTTTGTAGTCGAAAACACTAAGCTGGTTAAAAACTGGCTTTTAGGATGTCAGGACATACCATGTACACAGAAAAAAGGATGGTGAGGGGAAAAAAAACCAAAAAACAACACAGACAAGAGCCTGTGTCACTCTTTCTCCCTAAAAAGGTCTGCACAGCAAATTTTAAGAGGAACTGAGTGTTCTCTGCATCCCCCTCGTTAGAAACTCAAGCGTTATTAGATTTTTTTCAGTGACAGGATGCACTGCTGAACCCTGGGCGCCAGCTGGGGAAGTTCATAAATTTTTCAAGGGACATGCCTTAAACAGGAAGATTTTCACAGCAAAAGACAACAGGGATTTTACTTAATCATGCATTAATGTGGGTAAATAAAAGGCAACCCGACTCAGGGAGCAAGTCATGAACTATGCAGAGGGAAAAGAAAAAGAGACGCGTGTGAATACCTAGGAAGATCAAATATTCAGGCAGAAGYCTTCCCTAAGTGGATCAACAAAGATTCAAAACTTGGGAGCTGCATGGATACTCCAGGATGTGACTCTCTTTATTATATTAATAGAAATAATATTTAAAACAACATGACATTGATCATAATGCCAATKTCAGGCCAAGAGGATTAATTAATGATTTTTTTTTTTAATAAACTTACCCACAGAATGACATTTCTGCTCTGCCATGCTTCACTCTTCTCTGAACCTRTAATTCTGAGTGTGTCTAAACCAAAATTTGTATAAAATGTTTGCAATAGTAATTTGAATATTTTAAACCTCTAATCCTGTTCTGACCCTACCCTTTGATTAATGGCAATCCCACTTTATTTCYTCTGTTTACTTATTTAAACCAAGCTTATTCATGCTAAAAGACATGAGAAGAGGTGATAGATCTGTAATGTCACCCTATTTGTCCAGATGGGTTTTTCAGTGGTCTAACAGATTTTAAATATCCGATAAATTGGCAGAGGACAGGATAGACAAATGCAGCAAAATGTGTGATTTTCCATCCTACAGCAGTGAGGTAGAAAAGGATTTAGCTGAACAGATASAAGGTGATTACATCAAACATTCCAAATATCAGGATGTTTTCCAAAGATAATAAGGACACCACTGTCCAAGTTAGATCCCTGCCTCCACATATGGAAACATTAATTTTAACCTGAATTGAAACAAAATAATTTTCAATTAATTAACATTGCCATCGAAATGCATTAGAGAGGAGTTGACAGACTTTACGTCTCTTAAATAACTCATATTAATTCTCAGGAATCATGTAAATTACACAAAGATAATAAACAGCAACTGTTATAGGCAATTAACAGGAAACTTTAATGAATTCTGTTCAGGAAAACTCTTAATGTGTTTGCTGTTGACTTGGGGGACTAATTAGCCATGGGCAGCACGTGAGGGGAGCTATGAAATGACACTGGGGAAGTTTTTTGTGACATAATAAAAAATTTGACATAATAAAAAATTTTGTCATAATGAAAATTTGACATAATAAAAAATTTTGACATAATAAAAAAAAAATTGACATAATAAAAAAAAAATTTTGACATTATAAAAAAAATTACTCCTGTTTTGTTTATTGTCTACATAAGGGAAAACAGGAGGAGAAACACAACATTAATGATGAAGAAAGAGCAAAGTTTATTGTGCCAAAAGGCTGTGAGAGTGTACTCCATGCGTTGACCATGATTTTGAAACCTGAGCAGCTCAAAATTGCTCAGTTTTGATCTTCCAAGACTGAAATTCAACAACTGTCTGAGAGGACAAACTGGGAAGCATGTTTAGTTTATTTAAGTGAAAAAATAAAAGGTGTCAAACAGGCTGTGCCAGAATCTTTTTGGAAAGGTGTCTGTGCCTTTTATGTCAACTCTCTCAATGCTCGCTGAGAGGTTCTAATTATTGAAAAAAAAACAAAAAAACAAAAAAACAAAAAAACAAAAAAAAAAACAAAAAAACCAGGGTAAAAATGCCTTGTGTGCATTTTGGAAGGGTGGAAAGGCGAGTTAATGATCTTGCAACAAAGGAAAATTTGGGAAATTTTGCACCAGAGGGAGGAGAGCTGGAAGGTGAAGCAGAGATGCCACTTTTTCCATGACATCTTTATTCTGCCAGGTGATTAAGAAGTGATGGTGGGGTTCCTTGCTTGGCACACCACAGTTTTCCACACCATTTTAGTCTCTCCAGAATCCACAGTGAACTGTTTTTTATTTTTTTTCTGACAGCTGCTGTCTCTCAGCCAGGAGTGCAGGAATCAAAGG